CCTGCGGCACTCCTTCCCCGTCCCTGAAAGGAGCGCTAAAATAGTGCTTATTTCACAAGTCAGTGAAAGTGCACTACAAAAGCTTGCGGCGCACTTTCACTGACTTTTCCACTGCAGCGTGTCCGGATGCTGCGGCAGGAGGTTGCCCTCGGAGCACCGGCCGTGCGGAGGGCCGGCGGCTCCAAGGGCAACCTCAGGAGGAGGAAGGGGCACCAAGCGTGCGGCTGCCCCTCCTCTTCCCTGCCTCCAGGACGGCTTTTTAAGCCATCTGCTGAGGCCCTAAATAAACCCCCTTCCCCAATTAGATTTTGGTCAGTTCCACATTCACATGAAGAGGCTGTTTTGGGGAATGGAAAAAATGGGTATCCCTTTTGTTTCATCCTGCTAGTGACTCTGGTTAAAGAGGTTTTGCAGCACTTAAAATAACCCAGATGAGTGCATGGCGATATTTTTGTCCTATCAGTGTCACACAAGCTGTTGTCTGTTTTCATTCTAATTCAGATCCCCCATGAAACATAATTATAGTTCTTTTAATAGTAATCTTACTTTGTGAACCTTGCAGGCTCTTTGCAATCACACTTTCAGATCACTGTAATACTAATTTAAATTGAAAGAAGAAATGAGTAAAAAAAAAATGAAGGTAACCCAGGAGATTTTTCCCCTTTTTTGTTACTCAGCTCTTTTACAGAATTAAAGTAGAGATATGTGAAAAGGCTATGAGCAGAACAAAAATTAAAAATGGGCAGCATAAGGGAAAAGGAGATGGAAAAAAATTTGGTGGTGGAAAAGGAACCCTGGAGATAAGGAAAACTGCCACAAATAAATCCAAAAGGGATTAGCAAAAGGGAATTGGGTGCAGAAAAGGGGAGAAAACATTAAGGAACAGAGATAAGCAAAGCTGAGATAACAAGCAAGAGGTAAAATATTATTATGCTACAGGTCATTGTAATATTTATTAGCCATTATTGTTAAAAAGAATAATTAAAACTTTAAAAGCAAGCACAACACTCTGTTGTGGTCACATAAAATCTTGTTTATATATTCAGCAGAGCTGGAAGCTACCTTTATAGCAAGCTGATACTGCTTCACAAAAGGCTATTCAAGGAAATTCGTTAACAAATACATATCAGCTCATGCTTGGTAATCTTGTTAGTTGTCCTTATGTGACAGTTAAACAGCTACTTCTTTAGACTATTATTTTCCTTATGTAGTGAGGTAACACAACTTTTCAAAAACTGGACACTAGACATTTTGTAACACAAGATTTTCAAACCATTCAGAATCGTATAGTGTCACATTTAGTCCTTTACACCTATTTCTTGGGCTTTCTGGAATCCTTCAACCTCTCCTTTGCTTTTGTCTCTTTTCTCCTCTTTCTCAGCTCCTTCTGGAACCCCTTTTATTTCTTCTATAACTGGGATACTTTAGATAAGCCCAGGGGCTTGGCATGTCATTGGACGTTTTCACACGGGGCTTTAAACGGAGTCATTCCTACCT